AATGAACCAAAAATTAATAATTTTTAAGCTCGAGGTAGCCTTGATATGTTGGTCGGTCTCCCCGTTACCACGAGACACAATGCGTAAAAGCTTGCTGGTCTAGCTAGTAGCTGAGCTAGCCAAAACATCGCCAAATATTTTTCTAACCAATAGCTTGTCTACTATCCCCATTGTGATGTCATACGTATCACGTTTGTAGTTATACTACTCGAACTTTCAAGTTAAGAAAAAAATAAGTTATCAATTAAAACATGCAAAGATAAAAATATGTAACTAAGTTTAATATTTATGATATTGATGCCTATTAAACCTTATTTAAGAATACTCGCTTAAATATTCTTATAGAAGGTAGAAGCCAACGCGAATGAGTCGGCACGACCGAACAAGTACCACGCTATTACAGAATACCAGCAATAATGCTGCTATTCTGTATGTCTGTTTATTATGTATACTTAAGTACTTAGTACAAAATTCTTTAAAAAAAATATTAGAAACTTTTGAATGGAAAATATTTTTAATAAGGATTTGTTTTTGTATACCTATTCTAGATCTAAAGCGTGATAAACAAATGATCACAGTGAAATCTTTGACGTAAGAGAGATTTAATTAAGTGGAGCGAGGGGACAATTTAGTACCGTTAAGTGGGCAATAAAACTATTGTCCAAATACAGCGATAGTAAAAAATACTCACGATAGTAGACTACTCGTTACCGATGTAGTAAAAATAGGAATCCCGATTAAATTCCTATGAAGTATGCCTTGCTCAAAAAGATACATAATTATTAATTTTGCTTCTCTCAGTCCGCAAATGTAAGTGGTTCTTACTACATATAATAAAAATATCTGGTTTATATAGTAAAATATGATGATGGCGTAGAATAAAACATCTATGTCATTGTGCCCATACTGTGAATAGAAAAAAGATGGTAAACAGAGTAATAGCAGGAAATAAGGACTACAGAATGTCAACGTAGTCAAGTCACCAACAACAGTGTGAGTAGCGGAGCGGTCTCTAGGAAAGGCCTATGTTGCAAATTCGTTGTCCTGTGATAATTTATGAATGCAAAAACAGAAACAGACACTTTTTTATTCAATATAGATTATAAATAATACTTATTGAAAGTCACTCTTTTGTTTAATGACCAAGTAAATTAAAATAATATGTAAATGGCAAGGTGTGCTATATTATTAAAGAAACAAAGATATCGACAGGTTGCATATCATTTTACATGAACGCTTGGGGAAAATATTCCGCGCGTTGGCTACCCAGAATACTTACCGATACGAAGACACATAGCAGACTGAATATTTTCTGAGGTTTTTAGAACTGTTGCAAGGTGCTCGCTTAAAGCTGTTTTCATAACAATGGACGTAACGTGGTTTCACCATTACGATCCCGAGCCAAAATTACAGTCTATGTGACTTGGAAAAGATTATCATCTCCAACTTTTAAGAAATAATGAGAGATCTTCCACTAGCAATTATTATGATCTCTTTTTTGGGATAGTCCAGGGCTAGTAATGATTGAATATATCGATCATGAAACTTTTACGACCACTTAATATGCAGAAGGAATAAAATAAAGAACGCAATTAAATTGGCGACAAACAGCAAGACAAACTTTCACAAATTATTTCTTCTAATTTTTGTGAAACAATCGTCAAGGTAATGCCCTGCTCTAAAATTCGACATGTTGCAATGGCTGCAATTCGAGATGCTGGCTTTGATAAACTAGAGCAGTCCCCATATTCACTAGAACCTTGTTACATATATCTTTTTCCGTATTTTTTTTAATAAGATTGAAGTCGTTAATAACGAATCTACAGTCCACCTGATCGTGTCTACTGCAGCCTATCAACACCTGTGACCAACGACCAGCGATTAAAACAGTATTTGTCAGGACAGTGATTTAAAGATGGTGTAGCATTAGTCGCTGCAGTGCAGGAAAAAAGAAATTCTATGTGTATTATAATATTAAGCTGTCTAAAATTTAAATAACATTTAGGTAGTATGAGTTACCTGTAGCTCATTCCATTCCCTTATTTTTTAACTGGCTTCAAAAACAGGAGAAGGTTTACAACTCGATGTTCTTCGTCAATTGCGAACCGATTTTCATGATTCTTTTTTCAATAAATAGATTATACTTTACGGGTGGTGGCAAGAAAAAACCCACCACTAAGGGTGGCAAATTAGGAGATGAAGATTTTAATGTAACTATTTAGAGGACATTGAGATTGTGATATTTCTTAGTCTACTCAAAAAGGAAACAATAACTTTTAATAAAAAGTATTATTAGCAGAATTCAAAGAATTAAAAATTCAACCTTTTTAGTTTTTTGAAAACGGCTATTACTTTTTATTAAAAGTAAATATTTATTAAATGCGTCTAGTATTGTTTGTAGTTAACATCGTAAAATAAATTACTATACAGAAACAGAAACAGAAACAGAAACTTTTTTATTCAATATAGATTATAAATAATACTTATTGAAAGTCATTCTTTTGTTTGATTACCACTGGTTCGGAAAAAACCTCTGTCCTGGGAAGAACCAGCAAGAAACCCAGCGGGACTTTTTTTTTTAAATAACAGCTTACAATCATGATGTTACACAAATTAACAACACAACAAATTAGAAATAGCTTGGTAGCGATCACCTCATTTCCAGGGGTTATTATCATCCATAAATTCCTTAATATTATAATAACCCTTTTTATACAAACTTAGTTTAATAAAGTTTTTGAACTTTGAACAGGCCAAACTTTGTATATTTTCTGGAATTTTGTTGTAAAAGCGTATACATCGCCCCAAGAATGAATTACTGACTCGATGGAGTCGAGTAACTGGTACTACTAGCTTGTGTCTGTTCCTAGTATTTACAGAATGAATATCACTTATTTTTATAAAACTACTTTTATTTTTGTGTACGTACATTAAATTTTCATAAATGTATTGAGAGGCCAAAGTTAATATATTAATTTCCTTAAATTTTTGTCGCAGCGACTCTTTAGGCTTTAAATCATAAATTGCTCTTATGGCCCTCTTCTGCAAAACAAATATAATTTCTGTGTCAGCTGCGTGTCCCCATAGCAAAATACCATACGACATTATGCTATGGAAGTAGCTGAAGTAAACTAGTCTAGCTGTTTCAACACTGGTTAGACTTCTAATCTTTTTTACAGCATATGCTGCAGAACTAAGTCTGCTTGCTAGTTTTGATATATGGGGGCTCCATTGAAGCTTCGCGTCTAGTGTGATTCCAAGAAAAATGGTGGTATCTACAAGACTCAGTTTCTCCCCATTTAAAATTACATTAGTATTTAATTGTTTGACATTTGGAGTCACGAATTTCATACATTTTGTTTTAGTGCCATTTAAATGCAAATTATTAACATCGAACCAATTTACTAATTTAGATATAGCATTATTTACTTCGTCATATTTTAGTAACTGTCGACTTAATTTGAAAATTAAAGAAGTGTCATCTGCAAATAATACTATATCATGGCTATCCCCTACTATGTAAGGTAAGTCATTAATGTATACAAGAAACAGAAAGGGGCCGAGAATTGAGCCTTGAGGCACGCCCATTTGTACCATCGATCCGGAAGAGCTCATATGGTTAATGACAACTTTTTGCGTTCTCTTACTTAAATATGAAATAATTAATTTAAGGGCATCACTTCTTACACCGTAGTGTTGAAGTTTCCTGATTAATGTTTCATGGTGAACACAATCGAAGGCCTTGGATAGGTCACAAAATATACCCAAAGCATCCTGTGAATTCTCCCATGCATTAAAGATATATTTAATCAGCTCAACACCGGCATCAGTTGTCGAGCGACCCCTTGTGAAACCAAATTGATTTTTATGAAGTAAATTATTTATATTAAAAAAATTTAACATTTGATCAAGAACAATTTTTTCAAAAATCTTACTAAGTGTTGGTAGTACAGAAATAGGTCTAAAATTGGCGGGGTCTAATGTACTACCAGATTTAAATAAAGGTATTACTTTACTATGCTTCATTAAATCAGGAAACACACCAGATTCGATACTAGTATTAAAAATAATAGCTAAATGAGGCGCGATTGTATCTATTATAGACGCAATAACTTTAACGGAAATCCCCCACAGATCCGCAGTTTTCTTAACATCAATAGTTTTAAAATATTTTACAATATCTTTTGATGTCACTTTATGAAATGTAAAATTCTTTGTACACACATTTACATTATGTTTAAGTAATGATTCGGCGACGGCAGGAGAAGAATTTAGTGACTTAGTGGTCAAGATCGGAATATCAGTAAAATATTTCTCAAAAACCATTGCTACGTCCTGATCTGATACAGTTAATTTGTTGTTAACACTTAACTGGTAATTTGAATTGCGAGAGTTGATCTTACCAGTTTCGCTATTAATTATACTCCATGTCATTTTAATTTTATTGGAAGCCGTCTTAATTTTGTTGCTCAAATGCAAAGACTTGGCTATGGAGCACACTCTTTTAAATATTTTTGAATATTTTTTTACATATTCCCTAAATTCGACGCTATGATTATATGACCTTTCATGGTAAAGATCATATAACCTATGCCTGCTCTTATGGACTCCTACTGTCGCCCATTCATTGAATGACTTCCGACTGTTCAAGGAGAATGTTTTAGAAGTAATATAATCATATAACCAAAGGCCTTAATTTTTTATTATTATTTATATATAAGTACTAATAACATTAACTTCAAGGTAATTATGACAATATCAGATATTTCAATACAATTTTTTTATAAACGTCCTATTTCTTTTTAAATTAAAATTGTTCGCAGTTTCAAATATTCGTTCACGTTCAGTAAATCCTGGTGTTTTCATTTGTTTGTTTTTATTGTGTTTACAATTATACTTTAGTTACATCTTTAAATTTTCCAACGACTCACGTAAGGTCTAACTGCATGAATTGCAATTAATCTAACTACAGACAAGTGATAACGTGTGTCCGTTTTCAGATGGTACCGCGAGGGCTCGCCAGTGGCGCTGGACGCGGCCGTCGAGCACGGGCGGACCCGCGCGGAGCCCTCGGTGGCCACGCTGGTGCTCATGCCGAAGCGCGAGGACGACGGTGCAGTCTTCCGCTGTGTGGTCTGGAACCGTGCCATGCCCGACGGACGTCAGTACAACGCCACCGTGCAGCTAAGTGTCAATTGTAAGTTTTAAACTAAATTATTAGAAAATTGTGGTTTCGAATTATATGTTTATTTTACAATCAAAGGAACGAACATGTGCATACAAAATTGCAAAATGAAATAGTGTTATATCGTTACAGGATATCAAAGTCCACTGCTGTATATAGACCTCACAGGATATATATTTGCAAAATTTAAGGCTTTATTGGAAAATAGGAGTTACACACAGTTTTACCACCATCTACCGTAGGCGACGGGATAGCATAAAATCATTGTATTCTTCTACTTCTATCCCCCTTAATCCAGATTGTGTAATAGATTTTGTTGAGGTTATTTTTGCTCTTGTTTTACTGCAAATGTCATTATTGTATTGAATCTACATAAAGTTTATAGAATTCAGGTTTTTTTACAAACTTATTTTACAAAACGTGTAGGTATGTACTTGCCGTTTTTCGTGAAATCTCTTGAACATGAGCCGGTGACAGCCGACAGGTGTATTGCCCATTCGTCCACTATTCAGTTACTGTAAGATAACATATTGGAGCAATAATATTTAAAAAATGCTCATTTTACGAAACATATTGAAGTATCAAATTAAATAATTCGATATTCTTCTCCGAATCTTGGAATCTATATACATTTCCCCATCTGCCATCACGTGGTTTGATTCCTATCTTCGAGGTCGCTCGCACTGTGTCCGTCTTAATAACACTCTTTCCGATTGGTCTGGTAATGAGCGTACCTCAAGGTGGCGTTCTTTCTCCTCTCTTATTTTCTATATTTAATAACCCTATTACGACAGTTATTACATCTAATTTCCATCTTTACGCGGACGACTTACATCTGTATCGTCATTTTCCGGTGTGTGATACAAATAATGCAATTGAAGCCATAAATGCGGATCTGAGCCGATCTGTGAATGGTCTGCATCCTTTGGACTATTAGTTAATCCCACAAAATCGCAGGCTATCATAATAGGCAGCAGGCATTTGCGCAATAAATTAGAATTTACATCATTACCTCACGTTTGCTGAATTTTTCCATGAATGTATATAAATCGGTTATCATGCTATTTTAAGACCAAATTGTTTTCAAAGTTCGATAAATACGCTTCAAAAATGTTGTATAATACCAGCTGGTACCCTGCCCGTTGCTGCCATAGAAAAAATACTTGTGGAAATATCATTTCAAATTTCTAAGACTTATAAACAATATTTTTTAAATTAGGTTACGGTCCTATTTTAAAAAATGTTATTTATATACATATTATTGTTTATACATTTATTGGCGTTGAAGGATATAATTATAACTTTCCAATAAAATATTCACTACGATACGCGCGCCACCTACTGTAAGTTAATTGTACTATGCCTGTAACTTTTGCATAAATGCAAGCAATAAGTTGATAAAGTTTTACCGCATTCTGAAGAACGGCAAATGCCAGTGTATAAAATACGAACAAACAAAAATTAATTTTTATATATTAGATGATTTAATTTTATGCTATTTTGATTAAAAATAGTCTTGACATTCAATATAATTGTTAAAATCAATGACTTAGATTGCTAGACAGAGTGCTGCGTACATTTCAAGTAACGCTCTCACGCACACATCTTTCTTCACCAGCCAGTAAAAGTTCACAGCTCGACGCAGAAATATGCATCTGAAACTGCTGTTGGTTGCAAATCATTTTAGATGTACGTAATATGTGTACGTTAATGCGTGTTCTTACAGTAAGTTGAGCATTGTTTTGGCTGTTTTTTTTTTATGCGTCAATTGAAATGTACTCAGCGCTCCGTCTTTATTTACTTCTTGGTCTGAGTGGTTAATAAACTAACAGCATAACTAATTAAATTAGTTCATCATTAAATTTTTCAGAAATTAATCAGTTTTGTCAATATTTTCTAGTCATCTTGTTAGTCAAATAAATAATATTTTTTATTAAATTTTAAGACAATTAGTAATCAAAATACCATAGAACAATCTATACTAATATAATAAAGCGGAAGAGTTTATTTATTTTTTTGTTTGTTTAATCGCGCTAATCTCTGGAACTACCAGTGCGATTTGAAAAATTCTTTTTGTATATTATAGCCAGATTCATGTGGAATAGTATAGGCTATATATCTAGCATTAAACTATATCACTCAGCTAGCCTTAAATATGGATATTTGTTAAGCAAGTCAGAAGAAAAAGCACTCCCGAAATGATTTATCCGCGTACGCTGGTGTTATCGTTAGGGATACGTAAATACAATGTTCTAGAAAAATATAGATCTTTACTCCGTCTAAAAAAAGTCCGCGATACCATATGTCTATTTCTTATACATAAGCCATAATTAGGTATTTTGTGACAAAAAAATATTGAAAATTAAAAAGTGATTTATGAGCTTTATTATTTGGCATGGCCTATTTATCCTTACGAACGAAAGTTACTTCATCATCAAGACAATTTTGTGAAGATAAATTAAAATAATTCAATACTTGGCTGGGCGCGCGAACGACGCATAAACCCTAGCCGTCCGGTGAGAACTGCGAGAAGCCAGTATTGAAAGCTTCTATGAGCGAGGTTTGTTCAATCATTACAGCTAAAATAAATTAAAAACTAAATTAAAAATAAATTAAAAATTATTCGGGACACTTTCTGAGACGTGGGGTGGGGGTGGGGGGTGAGGAGGGGTGGGGGAAGGAAAGTGGATAAAATTTTACTACGCTCTACATCATACATAATATGCCGACAGATAAAAGTACTCCATTAATTATGCCAATTTTTCCATACATCAAATAAAATATTTAATTGCAATTATAAAATGCTTGAACTAGGTCATGTCGCGCACCTCCGACACGTGATGACGCGGGTGAAACCGCGGGGCACAGCTAGTGTTGAATAAAACGTGTTCAATTAGTCGTACTTAAGCTAAGCCTTAAACTAAACTAACCAATTTGATACAATTTATTACTTAGCAAATTTTATAAAAAGGATTATTATATTGAAAGGAAAGTAATTAGTAATCAAAATATTACATGATATTATAAATCATATAAAACTTGTTGACTTTGTGGTGTATCTTTTTTGAAGATAATTGATCTATAAATGTCATTATGTCATAATAATCGATTAATATAGCATTCACTATTCAATTTTCATAGTCAATAGTCGGCTGCCTCTGCGTATACTAGTAAAGCCTCATCCGTGATCTAATCAACTAACATGTTATTTAATGGAATGAGAGCTATTGTTTTCAAATACAATAACTGAAGATAATACTGAAATCAATATACAATTCTTTAAAAGCGATTTGACATCTAACCATATTTCTTATCCACATATAATACTTTGTAGGCTGTGTTTAGCAGTAGACTTATAATAGACTGTAGTGATGATGATGACGATGAAATATATACCGAATTCGCGGATCCCTTAATGTTTCTATCCGGTATGGTATAACCTACTACGTTACGTATTGCTTCATAATTAAATTAAATAACTCAGCGCGAATGTTGAATGTGTTCACTAAGGAAGTAGGTTAACAAATAAATGATAGCCATGTTTTAATCACGATTATAAACGGTACCAAATGTTCAATGTTTATTTAATTCGCTGAAAACACGCCCAAAGCAGGCCGCTCTGTATTCAAAAATATTTCGACGTATTTACATTTATAAATAGGTACCTATATATTTTTACTTTTACCAAGTCATATAAAATAGTACAAAATAGTATACGTAGTAGAGTCATGCTGCAGCATTATAGAAATAGTATAATAGTAGCACAAAACACAAATGGGTCGGCTCGATTGGGGAGGGACCACGCTCTCACAGAATACCAGCGTAAAATAGCAGCTTAATACTGCTGTGTTTCGTATGGTGATTTTAGATAACCGGAGACCCGTTTGACTGGAAAGGAGGCATTCCATCTTAATCCTCACTGGTGACAACGCATCTGCATTTTATGATGATATATTATTTGTAGATGTCTATGAGCCATAACAACCACTTACCATCAGGTGGACTGTGTGCTCGCTTGGCACCCATATCTTATAAAAAAAACCCCTCAAAATGTTAAACGGTTAATATGTGGGTTAATAGATTTTAACCGTGGGGAAATCCTAATGAATTCCCTTTTGCTGCGTGGGCAACGAATAGTTATATACTGGACTTCAACTGGCTAGAACCCCACGGTGGTCACCATCAGCGTATACGTGGTCCTGGAATCTCCGTTCGGAACGCAACCAGATTGATTCCCACCTTTGCTTTGTTTGATTATCAGCACCTCCCGGAAGCAGTACCTACTACCCTCAGCGCTCTCGCAGTACTACCACAATGTCTCAAGACCACTTTCAAATTAACCCCCCTCCGCGGGGCTTACATTACTTGGTGTTGTGTACGGCCTTCCTTAAAACGGTAGCACCAATTGCTATACGACGTTGTTTTATTTAAATATATTAGTATGTACTGTTAAAAACAATTATTCTAAACTTGAGTAATAGTTATCATATTCACCACTCACGTCTAGTAATTTCGGAATTTTATTGCTCGCTTACATCTTCCGTTTGTAGATTGATTGCGATTGGCTTATAAAATAGATACACTTGCACAATTAACCTGTATTTCCGATCGACGCTTATGAATCAAAATTGTTATTGCTTACGGTAATACATCAGCCGTTAATCATCGATACGCGGTTTCCTACGATATGAACTTGTGTAATAATAAATCGACTTGCGTCTGGCTAGCCTCACTGAGAAGGCTCAGTTCTCAGTTTCTTGCGTAATATGACATTTCACATTCACGTTTTACACAAACATTCAGTCCTGCATTGCTCAGAAAAACGCGTTACTTCTACGTGTAGGTAAGCCATTGAATTGAAATTCCGTGGACGAGTTCTAATTTCTCACTGTTAATGGTTTTTTTTTTTTGCTCATGTTCATTAGTTAACTTGTAAAGGGCTGTAATAATGATTATGATGACGAATAATGTAAATTAATCGGGATATGAATACATGTTATGATAAAAGTATGTAATATTCTGAATATTTTTCACAATGAATTTGAAAACAAACCATTTCGTCCATTATTCTACTTATCTTTATGATCATCATTATTATGTCTGTCTAAACTAAAAAAGTAAGGTCACAGCCTATATATGTCCCACTGCTGGCCAGAGGCCTCCCCTCATTTCTGAAAGGGTTTTAGTGCAATGAAGTGTCCGCCGCGCTGCCCCAATGCGTGTTGGCGAACTTCATATGTCTTCGCTATGATTTTTTTCTTATTTCTCAGGCATGCAGGTTTCCTCGCGATGTTTTCCTTCACCGCTGAGCACGTGATAAATCAGCACTTAAAATTGAAATTAACAATTTCATTGGTTCCGGCGGGGATCGAACCCGGTTTGCTCGCGTACTGGGAAATTTACAGCGAGCGCTAACCATTTGAGCTACCACGGCTCTTTATGTCTGTCTGGACAAAAGTAATTTCTAAGAGACGCAACTTACACCAATTTTTATTTACACGTCTATGATCTATAGATCCACACATGCAGTTAATTGCAGACGCCTTGCGCAGGTCATTCCACTATAGGATTGCTTAACTAGAAGTCTGCACCAAAGGTTGTTGTTTCTATATCAAAATTTTATTTCGCCAGCCTACTACAGTTTCAATTTGCGAATCCGAAATAATTTTGGTTCTTTGATAGATTTTTTCTATATAAATCTTATCCACCAGAAGTGACCGAGCACAACTCACTATCGCACGCGATTTTTAGATCGTGAAAGAGATGAACCATTAGTGTCCATCTTACGGCTGAATAATATACGAGTACAAGCAGGATGCACTAGTGTGTAGGTGATCAACGAAAAAATATATAAAATATGCGTGAATGTCGTGGAACACTCGGTTGGAACGAAGCTTCTTTCGTAGTACACTACTAGGCCTAATAATAGATACCCATATTACTTGGAAACCACACATAGAAAAATTACATAGAAAGTTAAGCAGCTTTATGTACGCATTACGAGAAGTAAAAAAAACAACAGATATAACCACCGCGATAACAACCTACTACGCGTATGCACATGCATGGCTCAGCTACGGCATTGTCCTATGGGGAGGCAGTACTGATGCGCCAAGTTTATTAACTAAACAAAAAAATAATAATACGAATCATAGCTAATATACAAAACACAGAAAGCTGTAAGCCTTACTTCAAGAAGTATAACATTTTAAGCTTACCCTCTATCTATATTTTGGAACTATGCAAATTTGTCAAAAAAAAATCCAAGTTTCTACACAAAACGAGATGACATCATGTCTAGGAATCTAAGACAGAGAAACAAATTAGTGCTGCCAATTTCAAAACTAAAATCTCATTCTTCCAGCCCATTCGCCATGTCTATAAAAATATATAATAAATTACCCGAATATATAAAAAGCATTAAGGACGAAAAACAATTCGTAAAAAAATTAAAGCAACTGCTTATAAATAAGTGTTACTATAATACTTCTGAATTTTTAGATGATAAAAATATAATATAATATAATATAGATATGTAAATAAAAATATGTTAGGTAATAATGAAATGCCATCCTACTAAATAAATTACAATAAAAAATTCAAATAAAATTTAAAATGATTCAAATAATTTAATAAAAATTCAACTGTGCTAATTACACCAATTATAATAATACCTTAAATGTCAAAATCAATTCATTAATAAATTATAACAATTACAATAACCGTATTTAAAATTCATTGTGTGTATGTTTAAATAATAGAATAAATGTTAATATTAAATAATTATTTAAAAATAGCAATAATTATAATAATAAATGTTCCTCCTTCATAATATTGCTGTGCCCATCAGGGCCCATGGAGATACCATAAAACTATGTAACACCTTTTGTAACCTATGGAATGCAATAAAGTTATTGAGTATTGAGTAGTATATTATTATTGATAAACGTATATTATTGATTAACAAAAACAAATAAGTAAATTACTAGCGTCTATTAAAATGAAGCGTCATTTAAAATAATATTTCTTTCGTGGCAAGATAAGAAAAAGTGCGAGGGAGATGGATATTGTTCCATGTCACTCGCACTATAGAAAGGGGGTCGTGAAGAAAAAATCTTACACTTTTTCTCTCGCCTAGCCCCCATCCGTCAAATTCGTACCGTGCTATAAGGAACTTCGTTCCAAAACAGCGTCGCGAGCATGTCAAGGTCATCGGTGACTCGAACCCATAAGTTTTTCCCCTACCAAAAATCTCTCAACTCGGCTAAAGTAATTTTCACTTCAATAACTTGATTTTTTTTATAATATTAGACTGACAAACATGCATACAATCTGCCTAATGGTAAGCGACGGTAGCTTATGGTCACCTAAAACTGACATGATGCACGACAGTTAGTAAATGAAGCTAGATCAGAATGCGAACAGTTGCTTGCCGGTAGGAATAGGTAAGAGGTTAGTACTAACCAGACAGATTTTAGTTTTGCATAAGCTTTGTCATTTAGTCGTTATTTCAAATTATTTTATATAAAACTGAAATAACAAACGAACTTACAGTCCACCTGAAGATAAGTAGCTACCCCAGGCCACCTTTGAACAAAGACTACAGATGCATGGTCATCTCTAAGGACTAAGATGGAATGCCTCACATCCTGTAATTACATTGGCTCCCTCTAGATAAGACGCAGCAAAGCAAGCACTGCTATTTGGCGGTAGAAATATGTGAGTGCTACCTACTACCTACCCAAACGAATTCCTAGCAGAAATATGAGTCCATCATCTATTGTATAATTTAAAACTTCCGGACTCGTCCCGCATGCATGGTGTTCATATCAATCTAAAGCCAGTGTTATAAATATTTATATTGTCCGAACTTCTCATATACCTGTTTATTTATCTATAAGCCTACCAGACTCGCATCAACTGACCCGAATGAAAGGCGTGAACCGCTAATCAACGCAATGTATGTTCTAAATCGGACGCGTAGTACCAACAGACATAAACACTCGTGTTGGTAGGCAGGCGCTTGTATCTAGAACGCCAGTGCATCCGTTTCGCATAAGAATTTCTGGTTAGATGTAATCAAGAGATTGTGAAATTCTCGCACGTTTGATTTCAAGATGGCAACGGAAGAGTACGCAATATCTACGCACTTTTACAACTTTGAAACTGCGTATACTTCCGCCTTAAACTTTCACTTTTTTGATCGATATTTTACAATCAGTTACTTTTCTTCTTTCCATTCCATTGCCATATTTTTCGACGGCACCTACAACAATCTACGACAAGAATGTTTTTATATGGTATTTTTTACCAACGACTAGAAATCTTATATAAGAAATATACATAAATAACTAGCATAACACGAATTATTACAACACATGAATCAGTACTCAATAAATCATAGTATATTCGTATTAAGAATGAATTATTGATGCCTAATTTATCAGTTATCATTAATATCATCAAAACCATTATTAAGCCCACTTCAGCTGTATATGAACTTCCGGTATTAGATCATTAGATGTACAAGTGCCACGCTTGGCATGCAGAGTATTCTGCTCGCAACCACCTGGTTTACCAGTTTCTCTTTCAATAGTAATCTTTGTTGAAAGAGATAACGTAACATGCCGCGACTAATCGCCCACGTATTTGGGAAACTACCTATTAATATTCAGATTTTTTATTTCGTATATAATTTGTAACTACTGTTATATTGTTGCAGATTTTCCACGAGTGGAAGTCGGTCCAGAAAATCCTCTACGTGTCGAAGTAGACGGAACAGCCACGATGGAGTGCAAAGTAGACGCTAAGCCGAAAGTAACCAGCGTCCGATGGACTAGGAACGGCAAATACATTTCTAACTCATTCTCACATACAATACAGGGTGTGGCAGTGCAGGACGCCGGTCAGTACACCTGCACGGCGGATAATGGGCTGGGTCGCCCCGGTGAAAAGGAAATTACTTTGGATGTTCTATTCCCTCCCACAGTGACGATTGACTCAAAGACGTACGAAGCTGAGGAAGGTGGTAATGTTGAGATCCGTTGCGAGGTATCCGCTAATCCCGAGCCTATCTCTATAGAGTGGAGTATGGAGGGAAAACCAGAGTTTCGTCAGAAAGGAAATATATTAACCCTGGGCAGGGTGGACGCAGATGTAGCTGGAACGTATACTTGTCGAGCTGTCAACGTTATTTCTACAAGCGGCGGGAATCGGGTTGAAAGGGCCAGCAGTGCGTCCGTAGCGGTATTGGTGCGACATAAGCCAGGGCGAGCCCATATCACTCCTGAAAGGCCAGTAGCCCAAGAGGGAGCCGGAGTGACCCTTACGTGCAGCGCGAAGCCTCCTGGCTGGCCGGCTCCGCAGTATCGCTGGTTTCGAGATATCGATACATCGGACGCTAACCCCATAGTCTTAGCTACGGGAGTAACGTACAACATACCAAATGCCCACCTCGGCAGCGAAGGTGTCTACCACTGCCAAGCAACTAATGAGCTGGGCCATGGCGAATTAGCATCGGTCACTTTGGAAGTCCATCAACCACCGCGATTCCATTCCAAACTCCAACCTCATGCGACGAAACGCTCCCGCGAACAGAACTTTTCGTTATCGTGCAGCGCGTTCGGTAAACCCCTTCCAACCGTAAAATGGTACAAAAACAATTCGGAAATCAAGCCCGACGTGAATTTGTACGAGGTGAAGACCGACGTCACGGAAGGTAGGGACTCTGTGTACAACGTACAGAGCACGCTCAGATTCTACGGCAAAGCGAGACCAAACGTCAACGATTTGATACCCGAAGACAGGGGTCTGTATACGTGTGCGATAGAAAACGAAGTCAAGAAAATCGAATCTTCTATGCATCTTAGAATTGAGCGTATGTATAACATGACATTATATATATATTATTTATTTTTTATTGGATTTAACTTTCTATGGGTAATTCCTACCTATCGTTTTCTTATCAAAATGGAATTTTAACGAACAATATTAGAATTTTACTTTTTTATTATATATATTATCATTTTAATACATAAAAAAAACTATTTACTATTTTCAGATGAACCGATTTCGATTCGACAACAGAAGAAAGTAGCATTCGACGTAATGGAGGCGGCCGAAATATCGTGTAGAGTTCAAGCCTACCCCAAGCCTGACTTCCTGTGGTTCTTTGGCTCCAGCAACTCTCCGCTGCAGTCGTCTGACCACTACGACATCACAACAATCACGGAAGACAACGACTCGTATTTAAGCGTGCTAAAACTGCGAAATGTAAAGCCGCAGGACTACGGCGACTACTACTGTAACGTGAAGAACTCCCTTGGTAGCATTCGTCCTCAAATACGAATGCAGCCGAAAGGCGCTCCGGAGTCCCCTCGCGGCTTAACCAGTCAGAAGATTGGTTCTACGTACGTGACCCTGAAGTGGGAGGCCGGTTTCGACGGGGGCTTAACCAACACAAAATACTTCGTGTGGTACAGAAGAGTCGCCAGCGGCGCCGGCTCGGTGGAGCAGTGCGGCGCCGCCCGCAGCGACGCCAACGACTGGCGCGAGTACGACTGCATGCGCGCCAACCCCTGCAACGTCACGCGCTTGGACCAGCATAACACTTACTCTTTCAAGGTAATTTAGTTCTTATGTTTCATTGACATTAATATCACTTGAGTGTGCAACTAATTTAAAAACATTAGTATATAATTTAATTTTGTCTAAAAACTTGATCGGTTATTCGTTTTAAGTTATATTACATTTAAATAATTAAAAAACAGAAAAATTAGGTGTTTATCACGCGAGAAAAAATTAAGACTTCATTTGGCTAATAATACCATACAATTTTTATTAAAAATTCATTTTGTTAGCTTGTAAAAACTGACACGGTCATGCATTTCTTAAAAGATTTGCCCACCACATTAGTTTTATCTGAACACTTGATAACAGAAAGTTCTTTTATAAGTAAATACAATAGTGATTGTGTTTAGTTAAGAAGGTTATTACTTCATGACCTTCAGAAGTAAATTGATTTTTTACATGCTTTTATCGGCAACGTGGTTATTTGTGTTTTAATACTGCTATAAAATATAATTTGATTTGAAAATATACAATATTCATAATACAATATATTCACACGAGCCTTTGTTAACTTGATATTTGATTATATGAACATTAAAGTAAATAAAGTTTAGGGTGGCCCCCACTAGATGGTGTGACGACCTTATAAGTAATGCAGGAAGTAGATGGATGCTGGTGGCTAATGCCGTGCTTTGTGAGATTACTTAGGGGAAACCTATGTTCAGCAGCACTTGTGAAGGGCTGTGATGATGATGATGATGATGATGATTTAAAATTATATTAGATGCATCTACTGACAGTATGAACTAGATAGCCTAGGGAAGCATGTAAAAAAGTAACAGCCTACATATACGTCATAGTGCTGGGCCCCGTACTGAGCTGCTTTTGTGGCAGGGATGAGGTCACCTCACTTCTCTAATGCGTGTGAACGGACTTCACATATTCTTAATTTATTTTTTAATTAAACAAACAGATTTCTTGACGATGCATTCCTTCATAATTGCTTTACCATAAGTTGCAATTATGAATTTTATCGATACTGGCATGGATCAATCTCCATTTGCTTGCGTACCAAAATTATTTATATATTACATTTTCGGGCAAGGCTTTTTTATTTCACTGAGCTAAGTAAATTTCTAAAACCAAGTCTCATTTCAGGTGAAAGCAGTAAACACGAAGGGCCAGAGCAATTATTCCAACGAAATAACAGTTACAACGAAAGTGGATAAGATCCCGCCACCCGAGCAACTGACATACGATCCAAGTACAAGAGCGGTCGTGTTCAGTGTCGGACCCACTTGCTTGGGACTCATCGGCGTGGCAGAGGGACTCGGCAGAGTCGGCGGATGGCAGGTAAATATTTCTTTTTTTTTAAATATTAATAAGCAGTTACAATAAATGGCGTTATCTTCGCAACGCAATCAGGCCGTTTTCGATTTAATATTAAGTAGCTAATAATTTCACTCAAAATACAGCCATGTTTTATTCTTATCGGTTCAGTAGATCCAAGATTATCACATGAGCTCAACCTGGATATACTACCCGATGTATAGATACTTAAGATCTTGACAAGCTAGATATAATTTATAAGTAAAATTAAATATCAGAGTGAGTTCACAGATATTCGACAGTATTATTATATTAGTAATATTATTATTATTTGAATTGAATTCGATTCTATTCGGTAACACGGCACAGAATGCGGCTAGCCAAATTGACTTTCTGCCCTATACCTATATTTAAGTCTTTTTGCTTTCTGCATTCGTTATCGCTAGTAGAAAACTGTAATAATGAATGAATACGACATAACTCAACTTTAAGACACGTGATGTAACGTTGATGTCATTCATTTATATAGTTTTCTATTAGATTTTAGAAAGTCAATTTGGCTAGTCAATTGTCCTGACTGGTTTATATTATAGATTTATTTTTATAATATTAGAGAAGCAAATGATCAGTCCGCCTGATGTTACTGTATCCATTGATACAAAAGGGGGATACACATGTGCTGCCTTTTGTGGATTTATATGAAATGTCTAATAGCTTTTCTTCTTTTCGTATCTAATGAATTATATTCTAAAAAGAAAAAGCCGAAAAAAATGGCAATAAATAGATTAATAAGTAGACTTATATGTAATGATAACACTTCTTGCGCCGGCCGCCTTTTTTTTTCGATAGGTGGTGTGATGAGTTTCACTTTGATTTCACTTTGTTTTTTTTTTTACAATGTAAATATGAAATTTATTGATAATTGTACCATAGTGTCGCCTATCGGATCGTAGCATGAATAATTGTTTTGACAAAATAAATTTATTGATTTATTGTATGATCATATTTATATATCATATACTGTATATTTTTGTTATTGGGGTTATATCAAACCTAGTTGTTCAGACGTTACAGATAATTCCTAGGCACGGCAACGATTATATATTATATAAAGGTAAAATAATTAACTGAACACTGAAGTGATAATGGGCCGGACATTTCCATATAGGCCGTAGCTCGGAGAACTGACAACCGATGGGGAAGAAAAGTTTTTTTTTTAATTATAGAAGAGGGGCAAACGAGCATGTGGCTCACCTGATGGTAAGTGACTACCGCTGCCCATGAACAACCGCAACACCAGGGGAATTGCAGATGCGTTGTCGGCCTTTTAGAAAGGTGTAAGCTCTTTCCTTGAAGGTTTTTAAGTCGAATCGATCCAGAAAAATCGCCGGTGGTAAACAATTCCACAGAGAAGTTGTACGAGGAAGAAAACTCCTAGTAAAACGCACAGTCGTGGACCGCCAAGCATCCAGATGGTGAGGATGGTATCGTGAATTTTGACGCGATGTGCGTTCGTGAAATTTGGCGGCTGGAATTATTCCGAATAATTCCTCAGAGCACTCCCCGTGGTAAATTCGATATAAAATGCAAAGGGATGCAACATTCCTACGCAGTGCCAGTGTATCGAGCTGATCAGAAAGAACTCGGTCGTAAACGAATCGAACCGCTCTGCGCTGGATGCGGTCAAATGTAAGGAGCTGGCACTGGGGTGTCACGGCCCAGAGATGAGACCAATATTCCATCTGAGGCCGAACTTGCGCTTTGTAAAGTTGCAAGTGATGTCCCGGCATGACATACTGTCTCGCTCTGCTGAACACGCCAAGCTTTTTAGAGGCCAATTTAGCCTTCCCTTCCAAGTGACCACGAAATTGCACACTATTCGATATGTCGACACCGAGGATTCCTATGCTAGCTGAGGCAGCAAGGGGAGTGCCTTGAAACTGAGGAGATGAGTGGCAGCCTCGTACTAGTCAGCGAAGCGTAGGGCTGCTCCTACTAGATGGAGTGACGATCTTTGTTGTTCGGGACCGTGCTTTGTGACATTCCTTGTGGGAGGCCTACGTTCAGCAGGCTTTGTTTGGGGCTGTAATGATGACGACGATGATTGACTGGTGCAGGTGGTAGAGACGTTGCCGCTGAGCATGTCGGGCGCGGGCAGCAGCGTGCAGCGCGGCGTGCTGTCGGCGGGCGCGGGCGCGCGGGGCGGCGCGGGGGGCGGCGCGGGGGGCGGGGGCGGCGCGCTCGACGAGCTCAACCCGCGCCTGCGCCTGCGCCTGTGCCTGCTGCACAACCAGGACGTCTGCAGCGAATACGTCGAGGCCGACAGTCAGTACATGCACTATTCTATCATATACAAGTCTAAATGACGAAAAAGTACAGCCACGTAATACTAAGTAAATGCTATCCATTACTTCTTTTTTATATATAACAATACTGGCAAGTAATATTACTAATATTCCCTTTAATCACTCCTAGTAAGTTTAAAATGCTTGGGTTAGGAGTGGTTCACGACAGTAGTCGAATGGCGGATTCTAATTTCGAACCCTCAAACTTCTAAGTACATGGTTTGTACACTGCCATTGCGCTACTGTCGCTTTTAAATATCCTAGATAAAAAAAAATCTTATCAAAGAAGCGTCGAGTTCTGCGAACTAAAGTTGAATGAGATTGGTTTTACTATAGAGATACTAATAGAGAAAGTAGAAAATAAAGAAGTAAACATTTTTTAAAATTTTAAATTATATTTTTGCCTAGATGTCATGTATGTCATTTTTACAAATTACATACATGACATCATCTTGCGGTATATATTTATATGTTATATAAATATCTACAGCTTTAAATTAATTCTTTCACTCAATCAATTTGACTGGCCTATTGGTCTAGTGGTTAGTGACCCTGACTGCTACGCCGGAGGTCGTGGGTTCGATTCCCACACAGGACAAATGTTTGTGTGATGAGCACGATCATTTGTTCTGTGTCTGGGTGTAATTTATCTATAATATTTATGTATTTAGAAATATATAAGTATGTTTATCAGTTGTCTAGTACCCATAACACAAGCTCTGCTTAGCTTGGGACTAGATGGCGTTGTTTGATAGTTGTGGAATATTATTATTATTAAAAAAAATCAATTTACATAAATTAAAACTCTCATTTTTAATTCAAATAGCTGTATTTATAATTAATGTATATTTATCACTTACATACCCACAATATTAACAAGTTATTACGTTTACAGTTGGTCCGGCTTACATCAAGGAAGCGTCAGCCCTGACGACCGCCACACTGATCGCGATCGTAGTCTCCGTCATTGTCTTCGTTCTGTTCTTGTGTCTCCTTTTCATCTTTTGCCGATGCAAGCGAACCGAGAAAAAGAAGAAAGATTACGAAATGGCCTCTATAGGGCACGGCATGTCGCTAACTTCGCCCAAGAATCAGGCGCCGCCGCCTTACATGGAGTATCCGAACGCCGGTATGGAGAATAAGGCTCTGGAACATTCGATGGAGCTGGCGATGGACGACTCGAAGAACGCCGTGTACGCGACGCAAGCCGCGTACGGATACCACATCGCACCTCACGCGACGCCCACGCACGTTGGACAAAATAATATGTCCAACATGGACTGTGAGTATGCGTATAAATTCATTTGCCGTTATATAATTTTTATATAATACCATCAGTCTGCACAAACCTACTCTATCGAAATTAAAAGAAATTAAAATTAAATAATCGTTTTTAAAAAAACCGGCCAAGTGCGAATCGGACTCGTGCACGAAGGGTTCCGTACCATCGTAATACACTTTTCTAGTAGAGGAGGCCCTTTTGCTTTTTAATTTATTATTATTTGTTGTTATAGCGGCAACAAAAATGCACATTCCGTGAAAATTTCAACTGTCCTACCTATTACGGATCATGAGATACAGCTCGTTGACAGACAGACAAACAGACGGACAGCGGAAACTTAGTAATAGGATTCCATTGGTTACCTTTCGGGTACGGAACCCTAAAAATGATTACGTCTGGAATTTGAGAACTTCTGATGGTTGGCCGTATAAGAAAAATCAAAGTCACTCAGCGTCAGTCGGAAAGGGTTATGCTCGGAATTTTTCTGCAGGATAAAATACGTATATTTGATATCCGCGAAGAACTAGAGTAACTGACACTGCCCAGCGGATCAGTTACCTTAAGTGGCAATAGGCCGACCACATAGCTCGACGAACCGGCGTCCGGTGGGGAAGAAAGGTTCTCGAGTGACAGCCCCATGCTGGCAAACGCAGTGTTGGGCAATCACTATTAGATGGAGTGACGACTTGTTGAAACACGTAGCACCATTGTAGTCGATGCGTGTAGGTAGCTCGGCACCGTATTTGTGGCAATATGAGTGGGGAAGACTATCGTTAGCAGTGAACAAACGGAACAAACTTGTGTCTGAAGTCGAGTCTTTGCTGGACAAAGTCTCGGATTGGGGGCGACTAAATCTAGTCCAGTTTAATCCTCAGAAGACACAAGTTTGCGCGTTTACCGCTAAAAAGAACCCCTTTGTCGCATCTCCTCAGTTTCAAGGCACTCCCCTTCTTGCCTCAGCCAGTATCGGTATCCTCGGAGTCGACATATCGAGTGACGTGCAGTTTCGTGGTCACTTGGAAGAGAAGGCCAAATTGGCCTCTAAAAAGCTTGGCGTGCTCAGCAGAGCGGGACAGTATTTCATGCCGGCACACCGCCTGCAACTTTACAAGGCGCAGGTTCGGCCTCACATGGAATACTGTTCCCATCTCTGGGCAGGGGCTCCCCAGTGCCAGCTCCTTCCACTTGACCGCATCCAGCGCAGAGCGGCTCGAATCGTCGACGACCGAGCCCTTTCCGATCGGCTCGATTCATTGGCACTGCGAAGAGATGTTGCATCTCTTTGCATTTTCTTTCGCATCTACCATGGGGAGTGCTCTGAGGAATTGTTCGGATTAATCCCAGCCGCCAAATTTCATGAACGCACATCGCGGCAGAACTCCCGATACCATCCACACCATCTGGATGATTGGCGGTCCACCACTGTGCGATTTAGAAGATGTTTTCTTCCTCGCACGACTTCCTTGTGGAATCGATTACCATCAGCGATTTTTCCGGACCGATATGACTTAGGGACCTTCAAGAAAAGAGCCTACTCCTTTTTAAAAGGCCGGCAACGCATCTGCAATTCCCCTGGTGTTGCGGTTGTTCATGGGCGGCGGTAGTCACTTACCATCAGGTGAGCCGCATGCTCGTTTGCCCCCTCTCCTATAAAAAAAAAAAAAAAAAAAAAAAAACTTGTGATGGCCTGTAGTGATAGAGTAAGTGACACTCTCTAGTCACTGACAATTTATTAATATTTTGCCAAATATCCAATTATTAACTAGTTATTGTTTTAGGTGTAGCTATGTAACGAGGAGAATTTTCACAAATAAGTGCCTCTTTTAAAGAAACTGGTAATCTATTTATACGTGGTAGAGCCATGCTGCAGCTATATTAGTAGTATAGTTGGAGTACGAATGGGTCGGCTCGACTGGGGAAGGACCACGCTTTCACAGAATACCAGCGTAAAATAGCAGCGTAACGCTGCTGTGTTTCGTATGGTGAGTGTAGAGAACCGGAGACCCTTTTTACTGGAAAAGAGACATTCCATCTTAGTCCTCACGGGTGACAATGCATCTGCATTTTCACAGCAACCACTTACCATTAGGTTGACTGTGTACTTGTTTGCCACCTTATCCTATAAAAAAAATCTTAACCATGCATTGACATTGGAAGCTATGAACTTCACTTCATTGTCACCATCACTCACATATTTAGCTGTGCTCATACTTATTAGTATGATTGTCAACAGGGGTGAACACAGGGTATATGGACAAAGGGTACGCGAACAGCAACAACGGCGGCAGCGTCAATTCGCAAGATTCTCTGTGGCAGATGAAAATGGCGGCCGCTAACAACACGGGCATGATGATGATGGACCGCAGCAGTAACTACGGCTACGACCCCATGCACGCCGGCTACGGCACCATCGACGACTACGCGGCCTACCAGCCGCTGCCGCACGCCCCGCACCCCGCGCACCCCGCCCACGCCGCGCACCCGGCCCACGGGACCAACGCGGACTACATGCGCACCTCGCAGAACCCCTCTAGACAAGACTACTGTTCCGATTCTTACGCGTCCGTGCATAAGCCCAAGAAACGCATGGATCAGCATACCGGTGAGTAAAACAAAATGTATTCTACTTAAAATTAGAAATTATTTTTAAAGATAAATAATAATTATTATACAAAGTGAATTTGAAGATTTAAAATATCACCAGGCCCGTCTCACTCCGCGCTTTACGCATGAAAATATACTACGCTACGCGGCCCTGTATGCGGGGCTAATTCCGTGAGTTTGTCAAACGCCCGCTCGAGCTGACGCGCGCCTTACGTTAATAAAAAAGTATTTTTCTCTTATAAGTATTTAGCCACTTGATATTCATTTTTGAGTTTTTGTTCAATTATGGCCTCTCAAAAAACCAAACGGTACTGCATAGCATACGGGTGTAAGCACCAACAATAACAATAGGAATGTCGAATTTCATTCTTTACTGTTCCTAAGGATACCGAAAGGTATTACGTAAACTGACGTGATAGTTACACATTTATCATTTGATAAGTTTTTTCGATTTTTTCGCGTATAATACCAATGACCTTAAAAAATCGTGACTAGTGACTGCCTACTAATGCAAGATCAGCATAATATACTGGTTATTAGTTTAACACTTCGTCGGTAAAAAAAAGATATTGAAAGTAGCAGCACTTCTCATCGCCACGCTTTCATTAATAATGAAGTCGCGTGTCACATGTTTGTAAATAACAAAAAATGTGAAACAGACAAGTGACGGCTCCATGACACAGTGGCTTAATAATGAGTTGCAGGGCTAATGGCCGCGGGTTCAAATCCCGGAGGGAACAAGTATTTGTATGGCCTACAAATAATTTTTTCCGGGTCTAGTTTGTCCTTGTGCAATTTATGTTTGTTAACTGCCTCTACGATACAGGAGAAAATCCTAGTGTGGGAGTAACGTTTTTTTAACAAAATAAAAAAGAAATACTAATATATTGCATAACACCTCGGTGTATTCTAAATATATACCAACTAATATTAAAAGATTCAATTTAGTTTCTCACAACACCTAACCCTACAGTAGAAGCGGTCTTCACAAAGGTGCGTAACTGGCTAAGTGATACAGACACTCGCACGCGGACGTAAGGTGCATTTTGATTTAATACGCGCGCCCCATAATTTTTTACGACGAAATAAACGTTAGGCTAATTTCACGAAGGTCACTTCCGAGGCGTGCAAAGTATTATGAACATTAGCGACGTTGTAACTAAGTTTCAACTCGCAAGTTTATTATCAGAGAGTGATCCTTCTATTCTTTTAACTATTATAACGATATATATTAACGATATCACTAAGTTTCCACATAGATATAATAAGAAATGTATTGAATCTCGTGGCAACCAACAAATTGCGTTCAGCATCTGGGGTATGAATGAATGCTTCTTTATTTCATTTTTTCAAACTAGGTACTAGGAAAATACTAGCATGTATTGTACAAAATATCTTTTTTTTTCTCTTCCTTGTAACATTATTTTGTGTGTACATAAATTGTTAAATAAATAAATAAATATTTTACATTCGAGCACATATGTACAAGCTGCTTATATTGGTTGTAATTAGAGTTATGAGAGAATAAAGCTGACAAACAAACACACAGTCCACCTGATGGTAAGTTTATGCTGTGGCCTATAGACATCTACATCTATCCTCCCATTCGTATTACAACCATAAAGGCTCTTGTATGACGTATTTTATCAGGTGACTTTTACGTCACATATGTAGGACATCATGAGGTTATGGATTCTCTTACGTCGCTGTCATATGGTCCTATTTTATACATTATATTATGTATTATTCATTTTACTAAAATTTCTTATTGACGTAACTAAGGTGCTCTGTTCATTACGTTGTATTTGTTTGTACGTAAAGTCAGTGTATTAAAATATGCAACTAATACAACATGCAGATGATGTAACCGTCTATATGTAATTTATGTAACAATATTTTGCACAAAATATTTTGACGCCGTTTCGCTAAATAAAAGTGAATTTTTAAATTTATATAAGTGCGTTGGTGATACTCTTATGCCTATTGTGATGATAATGACGATGACTTTTTTTTTATAGAATTTAAGCGACAAATGAACATACGATTAGGAATCGCAATGCAGATGCGTTGTCACCCCTGAGTACTAAGAGCGTAGGCCTCTTTTTCAATAAAAAGGTGTTTCCGGTTCTCTACACTCACCATACGAAACACAGCTGCATTAAGCTGCTATTTTACGCTGGTATTCTATACGAGTGTGAACTTTCCCCGCTCGTGCCGACCCATTCGTACTGCAACTATAATTTAACTGAATATGACTCCAGCACGTATAAAAGTAAAGGTATAAAAGGGTGGGCGTCGGTTGCAGAGTCGCCGTACCACGAGGTGAGCGGGCTGCCCGAGGCGTACGCGGGCGCGGAGGAGGCGGGCGGCGAGGACAAGCCGCCGCCGCTGTCGCTCAGCTACGACGAGTCGCTCGAGTCCGGCTACTCCACGCCCAACTCGCGCGCGCGCCGCGTCATCCGCGAGATCATCGTCTGAGCGCACGCACACGCACGCGCGCGCTCACACACACGCACACACACGCACGCACACACACACACACACACACACACACACACACACACACACACACACACACACACCAACAACTGGTAGATAAATGCCTGCCTTTGCATCTTTGATAAGGTTGCAATAAAAATAAATAACATAACGTTCAACTCGACCAAGCCAATAGACGCTCATGTCAGTTGAAACAGCGTACACGACATCGATACTTCACCACTACACATACACACGACGCATACAGCGTACGTACACACAACACTAACTCGTGCCCGCTGTACACGTGCACACGCATAACGTGCACACACATGCGTACTCACGATATCGAATCGTAATATTCGTACAATGTATGTCCCACATATACACACGTACAATTGGATCAAGCCCATAAAGTTAGTAGCTTTTCTATAAAAAATAATTGAAATACCCCTAAGCGATGTTATAGTTTTTGTGGTCAAATATATATCATGTTTGTATATTATTTATAACCTGTAAAATCCAATAAAAGAACATTAGTAAAAGAACTTTTATATGAGGAGTAGCTTTAACGATTACAGCGTCAATAAGTCAGGAATATGAGTGACGACACGTTCGACTTCTTTGGCTAGATACACAAACGACACTGACACATATATACATACGAGTATATACAAATATAACATTGACAAGCATACGTAATTTGCGAGATAATATTATGAACCATCTCATACAGTATTTAAACTAAGTGTCGCTAATATAATGTTAACGTTTAAACTGAAAGTAAAGTTATACCTAAAAAGCAATCAATCAGTATCGTCGGGAACGGTCACCTGAAAATATCTTCCACCATGTTTAATTTAAAGAAATCTGAAAGTCTGACATGCAAGTTGTTTATTCTTAAACATGAACATCGCAGGTTAGCAAGGCTATTCAGGGAAGGGATGTTAATTTTCTGTCCTACTCTAACAACTTTTGGCTTTTCGCACAGTGAGGCCATCTCCAGTTACAAGAAATTAAAGGACGAATACACTAAGATGATCTCAACCCTCCATTATGACAACAATGCATTACAAAATATTTTTTTAATGAAATTATATATTCATCAGTATGAATCTGACTTACATATCTGAGCATGACACATCAAAGCTTATGACTTTTTAATCAAAGAATATATTTACTTTCTTTTTTTTTACACACAGAGTGTATCTATATATTCTGAAAACACCAATACTGAATTTATTTTTTGTGTACATATAACTGATGTTGAATACTGCGCCGATTACTCATTATGTAAGTTTTATGCATATAATAATTATATTAATAGGGTAAGTACTTATCGACTTTTATGATTAGGTTCATCACTCTTTGAAAGATCTCAATCATTCACGCTTCCAAGCTACTCAGTCAACACAGTTAAATAAAATAGTATGATAATTACATATTATCAATTATAAATAATGATAATTTTTCATGAGAGACAACTTGCATTGACATTGTAAAGCTATCACAGCCATTATTGTTTTAAGCGCACATGTAAATATAAAGCGACTAGTTGTAAGCTGCTGAAAATTTCTGCAAATATTGTAATATTAAAGTGCCAATAATGAAGAACGTAGTAAGTCTTTGTTTCAGATTGATGTTTAGTGTACTTGTACATTATAGGATATTTAATTCTATGAAATAGACTGTTGCATGTGTTACTAAAGTTATATTATAAATATGGCTTCATATTTGTTTTCATTATCTTCATTACTATAATGTTTCTACATATTATTAAAAAAAAATCACAACTTATTCTCTTTTTATTAAGACCTTTTATAATTTTATGGTTCCAAGGCAGCTCGTCTGTAGTTATGGTTAACATTGAGTATTTATTACTTTCAGTGTAAACTGTACTATAGATGAGGCTAACTTTTGAATGAAGACTTAATTTTTGATTGGTACTCCTCATTCAAAAATTAGCTAAATAAATACACCTATGAAAACCTTTAATTATAAAGGCCTTAATTTGCTTACATCTGAAATCCCATTACAAGTAGTGGGGAGTATTTTAAAGTTGACATATTTTCAGTTTGAATTACTGAGCAATTTTTTTGATTAATTTTTGTACAGTGCAACAAATTATATTAGGTATTATTAGAATGCTGGTGGTTATTGACATACATTTAATGAATTAAGCGTCTAGTATTGTAAAAATATATTTTTATACTTATGTATAGACTTTTACGTAACTGACAATTTTATATTTCTAAATCAATTTCAACGCTTGTTTTGTGTGTGTATTGCGTATTTTGGTTCTCATAAACGATTCATTACAATTTGCTCATAAATTAAAACTCTTATCTTACTTAGGAGTTTTTAGGAATAAACGCCTTTACCACGGAGGCCTACTGTCCACTACCGCTTCATTTGCAGGTTGCATGCAAGCTACAAATGATAGCACGCGTTTTTTTTTCATCACAACTCTATCCACGAAAACGTTATTGAAGCATGCAAACTTCAAATGGACCTTAATATGTCTTAGCACATTTTCCATTTCAAAAATAATAGGTGGAATTGCTATAATAATATAGCTATTTCTATTAATCAAAGTAATCACACATGCAATCGATGCATCTTTGCCAACGCAGTGGCAGTTTACTGATGGCCTTCTTGAGGAAATCAGCTGGACGGGAGGCAACAAATTCTTCAAAGGTATTTTGTATTGCCTCTCGGGTATTGAATTTTTTTCCCGCCAAAAAGTTATCCAAATTCTGGAAAAAGTAGAAGTCTGTAGGCGCAAGTTCTGGCGGATGACGGGGAGCTTCCAACCACAGCTTCTCAATCACTGTGTTCAGTTCTTTACAGTACACGTCTGCAACCTAATATCTAGCGATTATAATGTTATAACAGCATACAATTTTATTAGAAAACTAAACCAAAAAATGCATTGACTTAATTAATATTTATAAAAAAAACATCAATTGTAGATTTAGTCATGTAATTGATGAGTTTAAATGATTACAAATTTCGGCACTATTAAAATAACATTTTTTGTATCTAGTCGTACGCTAAAGCCCTGTACACATCATATGGTTACTCGATTTGGCTGACGGTCGCATGCGGCTAGACAAATGCAATATTTAGCCTCTTAAAGAGATTTTCTTTGTTGCATGCTGCATAAAAGCGTACAGAAAGCGTTAAATGACAAAAACGTGCTTATGAAACGACGGTACGTGGACACTAGGCCTCGATTTAGCTTAGTGATTGTCAATTGCAAACTATGAAACGATGAAGAGCGATTTTCTCTTAGGTATTTTTCAGTCTAGACCGAGTTTCCTATTTTTAATGTATATAAATTCGGAATTAAATAAGTTATTTCTCTTTTGCTTCGTTAGTAAGACATTATGTATTTCTTTTGCATCTTCAAATTGCATTTTTAACAATCTAGTTGAGAACTAAAATACGCCCATACTCGCATAATTTATACATAATATGTGGTCTATGAAGGTTTATCTCAGTGACTCGATATATCTCTCAACTCCACTTTTTCTGACATCTTTGAAATACTTTTAGTTAGTAAACTGAATGTTATCGCAAAATAAACCCACCTTTGTTTAGTACTTAAATTGTTGTATATTTCACGGCGCAGCATATGAAATGATTGTACTCATAGCAATAAATTATTTAAGGCACCGGGTTGTTCCACGTGTAAAGGATATTGTAAAGAATAACATACAATTACATCATGTCAAATTCATAATGATTTCTAGCGACCCTAATTATTTTTTGTTATTCTTATGTTCATTTATAACAAAAAAGTGCAAATACGAAAACATATTTAACACTTAATGTTTTTTTTACTAGTTAGCAAAATCTCTTAACATTTTTCTGCCGTCCAAAAGCACATCGAGTGGAGAGTTTGTGTTTGGAACAACCCTCTTAAAAGATAAGTGAAAATTTTAGTATTTATTTACAAGTCTTCTGTGGTTTCGAATTTTAACCATTGGAGAAGAATATAATGAATGTGAAGTTAGTAACGCGAGGCGAGGCGATATATATCTTTTATTTAATTTAGTTAAGTAGCTAATGAGAGCTATCCATATAGCACGCGTATATTTTATTTCTTACCTTTTCTTTTTTCTATAATTCTTCTTTTGAACTATGAAAACACAATTTGTATAAATATATAAATATTTTTATTTAATTCAATCGGCTTTTGCTTTTCTGCCTATTTTGTCTACTTAATGGAGTGCAAACTATTCAGTAATTAGTTAATCTAATGTAAGTTTCGTATTTCAATTATATAATTGTTAGAAAATGTATACTGTATGTGACGTTTCTAACACATGTGTAAGAATTAAAAAATAAATACATATTTTATTAGCCTCCTCTAAAACTTATTGTATAGTATATTTGTGATACCCACTCATAATATCAATCAATTTACAGAATGATGTTATGAGGGATATTAAACACAAAAATGAATTTTAACTGTTTTACTTAAATAAAAAATTACCGTCCTCTAAATATTACTAACATAGCACTGCTGACCATTAAAGGTTTATATGCCTGAATAATGTTGGTGTTATCTATTCCGAAGAAGCAATGATTATGTGAAATTAATTGATAGCTACCATTATGTACTTTTAAATGCTGTTTATGCAATATATATATATATATATATATATATATAGTTATGTACTTAGTACTTAAAAATGTTCAGCCTGATGTGTTCGCAATGCAAGCTAAACTGAACCTTGTTCACGTTAACTCTAGCACTCTATACGTATGTAATATTCATCACATGCATTTATAATAAATAACGTGGTTGTTACGTCATGTTCACATTTACTGTAATTTTCTCTTAAAACCATATTCATTGTGTTTTGGAGGGGATGTTATAAATTATGAAAAAGACTAACATCGGACAATTATTTCATGCCATATTATTAATTTTTATTAGATTTAAGATAATCTACGAATTAGAAGTAATTCAGTTCATTTTTGTAAATATT